TTGAAGCTGCTCTTCTCCAAATACCCTATGACTTTCTCACTGGTATGACTTGTGTCTGGTTGTCCCACCAAAGCCCCATGCAGTCATGGGGCAGACTTCTAGAGTCTGTGATTAATTCACAATCCAATGCTGGGATTATAGGTGTAAGTGCCACACCCACTGATGGCCTCTGCTGCTGCTGCTGCTGCTGCTGCTGCTGCTGCTGCTGCTGCTGCTGCTGCTGCTGCTGCTGCTGCTGCTCCCTTTTTGCTATTTTTTTTTGTTGTTGCTGTTTTCTGCTGCCATGAACAGATGCCCTCTGCCATGTGCCACTCTGCCTTGGAGCCAGCTAGGTAGGGACTGAAATCTCCACTAACAGTGAGCTAAATAAACTTTTCCTTCCTTAACTTTGGGCATTGGGTATTTTGTCCCAGCAATGAGAGAAAAGTAACTGAGACATTTACCAACATGTACACATTATTCTTAGTGACTTTTCTTGTCACTTAAACATAATACCTGACACCGGAGAGGTAAAGGAGGAGGGGTTTATTCAGGCTCACAGTCTGTAAAAGTTTCAGTCTGTAGTTGGCTGGCTCCAAGGCAGGGTGGCATGGTGCAGGGGCATAGGAGAGAAGATCTGCTCCCAGCACAGTGCACAGGAAGCAGAAAGTGTAGAGGGAGGAGCAGGGGAAGGAGAGAGCTCCCCCTACTCCTCACCCTCAGTGACCCCTCTTCTAACCAGCCACCTCCTAAGAATGAGTCAGCTACAAACCCCCATAATCAAATCATCTTCCCAAAGCCCTACTGAAGAGGAATGAGGCTTCAGGGGACATTGTAGATCTGAACCCTGATAAACATCACACTGAGGATTGTACACGATCGCACGGCAGCTTTTGAGAGAGATGAGCAATCCTTCCTTCTGGGAGCATTTTATTCGCTTGGACTCCAGCACCCCATTCACACGTGGTGTCTGTTATGTCTCCCCAGCCACTCACCCTGTCTTCTCATCCTATTGACTCATGGGAATCTTATCAAGTATCCTGCATTTAAGCACCATCCTCTTGCCCATCAGTTCTAACCAGAATCCCTCATCTAGCACTTTCTATTAAACTCTAATACACTGGAAACTCCCCTTATCCAGAGCTCAACTCCTGATCTTTATTCTTCCTGCGTTAAAAACAAAGCCATGCCCTACACCAACCACAATCTTGCCTGTGACAAGTCATCCTGTCTGCCTAAGCCTAAAACCTTAGAATCCTTCTAACACTGTCTGTCCTTCAAAAAATCTTGTTTGCTTGCCTCTAACATTCACTTAGAATCTCACCATCTCCACAGCTGCTCCTCTACTCCATTATTTCTCTCTTGAATAGTAAAAGAACTCCATGTACCTGCCTCAGGCGTTTATACTGGTGGTTCCCTCAGTAGGCAATGTTCTTCCACCCAACATCTTCATGGCTGGGTCCTTTGCCTCTTCTGTCTTTGCCCAAATACCACTTTCCCTAGATCTTAGTGGCCTCCCACTTTACAACTACCCCCTCTTTCAGCACTTGTTCTGCCCCTTCTCTTTTCCCCCATAGCACTTCATCACCTTCTTAATACATAGTTTATGCAATATGTTTCTATTGGTCCCAAAAAATGTATCCATAAAAGCAGAAAATTTTGTCTAGTTTGTTCTCTACAGAAGAGGAACATTTAATGCTTTTAATCCAGACTTCCAATTTGCTTCTCAAGAAATGAAATTATTTAAAGATATCAATAAAGAGAAACAGGAACAGTCCCTCTTAAGGCTGCAGGTTTGGCAAAGGCTGCTGGCATGAAGCCAAGAGAATTGCCGTGCTGGGTTCCAGGTGTATCTGATAAATCAGGGGCAGGCAGGATTTGCTGATATCTTGAAAACTATGGATGCTCACCCCAAATGGCACTCATGTATAAAGTTTGGAAAGTTGACCATCCCTACAATCTTTGTAGAGGCCACCATGGGCTGGTATATAAAAACCATAGCTAAGAGAAGCAGAAGTGGAAAAGGAAGAGGGAGGAGGAAGAGGAGGAAGAGGAGAAAGAGAAACACAACATAAAGAGGAAGGAGGAGGAGGGGCCCATGCCCTCCTCACTGTGATGGTCACTGGGATGAAAACGATGCTCAGATGAGAAGATGGGTAGTTGCAACACGGAGTTTGAACATTTGGAGAAGATCTTTGAGAGCAAAGCTTGCTAAAGGAAGAGAATTCATCCACCAGGTCTGCCATAGTTTGAATGTGTCGCCTCTAAAATGTAGATGGTGGTTACTGTCATGCTACTAAGAGGTGGAGCCTAAGGTTGTGAGTGTTTCTCTTGCAAAAACAGGATTTAGGCTCTCACAAGAGAATACTTCACACAGCTTCCGACTGGCGTGCCCTCTGTCCTTCTCTAAGGGAGGATGTAGCTCGAAGTCTCCCCTAAGGTGAGACTCCAGCACCTTGATCTTCTCAGCCAGCCTCAAGGAACTGTGAGAAATACATTTCTACTTCTTAACATGACCCAGTCTCAAATATTCTCTTATTTGACAAAACTGATGAAGTCTGACAAAATGGACTAAGACAATGTCTTAAATGTTAGCCAACACATAGGTAGACTTAAATAGCTCAAAGTCAACCCCAGGAACAGTCACACTGAAACCTCTTATTTTAAATTTTATATTGATAATGTATAAAGTTCACAAGACAATCAGAAAAAATACTATTTAGGTATTGGTAACTTGATTTTTAACAAATGAAATCAGCAAACAGTCTATCCAAATAATCTGAGCCATTATCCACCTGGCTTCTGTACAACTTCATCATTAGACATATTTCATCTAAATAATTCAGTAAAATAGTCTTATTGAGTCCCCACTTGTCTACCCAATATCCCTTTGCTTGTACCTTTGAATTCAGAAATCAGAAATCCACAATTCGGCCTGGGTAGTTTTTCCTAATCAGTCACCTCTCTGGGACAGGTACAGGAAGGGAAAGAAGAGGGTCTTCGTTAAATCTACATAGAAATGGTTGTTTCACTGAAGCCATTCTTCACGTTGTAATAACGCTAATACAGAAAACTCTTCATCTGAAATCTATTCCACAGCTGATATTTGATGCCAACCCTTACAGTGATAAAGGCCACAAAAAGAAATCCAGAGGCACTGCATTTAAATGCAGCCAATCCTAAAAGGTTCTCTGGTTAATTTCTTTTCCCTGTTACCACTCATCAGGAGACAAGTTTGCCAACAGCCATCAGACAAACACATCCTCGCTGGACCAAGGCCAATAGCAAGCAGCACTGTGGATCCAGCAGCAGCAGGGCGGAGGGTGCCAGGGGCACCGCCTAGATGAGAACATGCGGGGGCTGCTGGGCAGCAGCTGGAGGCAGTTTGGACATGCTGGCAGAGGGACCTACGAGTGGTTAACCAGCGAACCAAGCGTGCCTCTCCTGGAGACCCAGCTGCAGGTCTGTACCTCTGCTTTCAGCCTTTTATTCCCCTGAGGTATTTTGGTTATCTGTACTTTTAAAACCTTAAAACTAAGGGGCAACATCTTGTATTATGGATAGAACAAAAAAATAAGTTTGCTGTGTGCCAGGATCTGAAGGAACTAACTTGCAAGTTCTAAGTTTCTTTGATCATGGAACGTTCGAGGGAAACTCAACATAAACATATCCTAAGACTATTTGCTACAGCAACGATATCAAAGAGCACCTGAGGCTTGGAGGCGACAAATTTCGGTGCTTGAGTGTTATGATGTGCTTTGCTCAGGAGCAGCATCTATAGACACAAAGATATGAGACTCCCTTTGGTTCTCAGCTCTGAAATGAGCACTGTTTCTAAGAGCAGAAGCCAACCCTCTTACTTCAGAAGGAGAACAGGGCGTTAAGGAAGCTGTCTCTCCCTAAGACAGCAGCAGCTGCTGTGCGGGTCCGTGAAACCACTAAGGAGTCTCAATTTAAGGGAGCGATGAGGGAAAACATTTGTAGAAACCTAAAACAAAGAATTCTATGACCAGAGGAAAGATGGGTGACAATGCTGAGCACACACCAAAAAACCAAGAAATAACCTTTTCTCTAGAAATTCAGCTGTAAGATTGGTATTTAAATGCTCTAAAGCCACCTTTTATAGAAAAAATATATAGCTATATCCTATAACAGCTATACCTTTAATTGGATATTTCTCTAAAATTAAAGCCTTTGAATAAGTACACACATAAGAAAAATATTAAAAGAAGAAATTTTGAGGCTACGGAATAAATGAGGATATTTGACTAGAAAAGATACTCTTTCTGCATTAAAAACAAACAAGCAATGCAACTAATATATCATAAATAATTAAATAAGCAAATTAAAGACATCATAATAAGCTGGTCCTATAGCTCTGGGCAGCTCTTAACGGGGAAAGAGCTCAGCTCAGGAAATAGCCCTAGTCTGTACATCAGTAAGTTCTCTCATGCCACAGGGTGTTCTTCACATTTGGGCAAACTCCACCAGAGGAAATACTGACTGCAGCAGCCTTTCGCAGTACCAATAATACCAGAAGTGGTACAATTGTAAACATCAGTCTATCACATAAATCCTTTTGGATAGAATATTAAGTACCATTATATTCTGTGCATATTGAACTCCTTATGAGAAATAGAGTACTTAAAATGTGATGACTACAACTGATCTGAACCCATTATATACATTATTGATGTAGAATAGAGGAAAAAATGATGACAAATGGTCTGTGTTTACTGGGATAGAAGAGTTATTGTCTTAAGTACTAAAGGGTAATTTTAAGATATTTAATACTGCACTTGTGGAAGAAAACATTATGAATTTTTTTTTACTCCAATTTGATTTCTTATAGTAAACTTACTTACGGGCTCATTCTTTCTTATACTTTTATGATCAAAGGACCTTCTTATGTTTCATTTCTTTATTTATTTGGGTCTCACTACACAGCTTGTACTCCTAGCGATCCTCCTGTTTTCAGCCTCCCCTCCACTGGGATTACAGGCACCATGCCCAGTCTCAGGGTCGACTCACTGCATGTGGTACCAGGGATTGAACCTGCATCCTTGCACTTTCCAGGAAGGCGCTTAGACTGCTGAGCTACCTCTCTGACCTCTCAAAGGCCCTTCTTACGTCACAACAAATTTTAAATGAATTATCTTGATATTAATCTAGATTATATATGATAAAATAAGCAACCTCTAGTTTGTAAATATAACTTATTCACACTCATAAAATGTGTGTGGACTTAGAAGCCCAATCTGTCTCACCCCTCAAAAAATCACTGATCTTATTCTCAAGAAAATCTTTCATTTTTATGCAGTTTAAGATACAATCATCTGTTACCAAGAGCAAATTATCCGGCAATATAAATATTAAATAAACCACCTAATTTTACCTGAAAATAACTATACAAAGCCAAATAGCCCATTCCCTAGCTAGGTAATACCAGAAAAACATCTGTCCTTACCACCAAAACCAAGCAGAGAACTCCAACTCTCCTAGTTTCCTTAGGCTTTATTTCAAATAAGCAGAAAAAAATCTTATCATTTTAGGGCCAGGGAGATAGCCTGATGGTCTAAGCACCTGCCTGACAAGTGCAAAGACCCGAGTTTGATCCCCAGTACTGCATGCAACCCTGTACCAGATAAATAGCTTATCATTTTATTTGCTTAAACATAATTTAGGAGACTTTAAAATATTTTTACATAAGTGGTAGATATTAAGATTTACATTTGTCCTTGTATACTTTATATAATAAACTCTTTAGTATTTCCATAACTTCTTCCTAGCTGTATTAAAAGCAATGTTTGTATAATTACAATAGCATTTTTAAGGTGTTTTCATGCCCTGATGTTGAAGCATCATTTCATGGTTATATTTTGCTCCATCAGAAACTTTTTCTTTTTTCTTTTCTTTTTTTTTTTTTTTTTTTTGTGAGGTAATACTACAAAATCAATCTTTCAGGTTACCTAAAATATACGATTCTTCTCAAAAATCTAAAAAATTATATTTATCCTACAAATATTATAAAGAATATACAAATTTGCAGGCGCAGGGGCGAGGATTCCGCCCGCAGCGTGCACTGAGATGGTGATTGAGACTGGGCGTGATGGCACGTGCCTATAATCCCAGCACTTGGGAGGCTGTAAACAGGAGAATCACTCCCAGTCCGATCTAGTAGTGAGACCCTGAACACCCTGTAGACCTTTCCCTAAAATACCAAAAAAAAAAAAAAACCAAAAAAACCAAATTTTATTCATCACAAGTGCCAGCTAACCAAATAGAATTCACTTATCTGCATGTACTGCAAACACATAGCCCTGTGAGAGTTTGTTCTAGAGTTAAAGAACTCAAGTCTCATCCAGAGATTCCCTCAGAGCCTCCAGCACTCCCATTTGGGCTTCGGGAAGGCGACTAGCAGGGTCTTCTAGGAAAAGGCTAGAGCTGGGGCGTGGCCCGTAAGGATTTCTCCCCTTTCTGCTCTCCAGCAGCCTTCCTCTGCATAGCCCCTCCCACCAGGACGAGGAGCAGGTGAGACCTGAGACCTCGGAAACTGGGAGGCAAAGTCAACTTCTCCTTTAAGATGTATCAATGCACTGTGGCACTGTGTCCTAGCAGACCAACATGGCCCCTTTATGGGCGGAGAACATTAATTCTGGATAAAATAAGTACCTAAATGGAGAGAGTAGCCACTCAAAGCACGAGTGGTAGGTGCCCCAACTCTAGTGGAAACCCTGGGACCACTACCAGAGTGCATTATGCAACGTTCTGCATACACTGCCTGGCAGAGGAACCAGGTAGAGCCATGACGCTGAGGTGAGCAGAATGGCCAGGCCCGGGTCCCTCCCTGGCTCCTAACTCATTCTCCTTCCCCAACTCAGGGCGCCCAGCGGACGAGCTCCAGCCAGGCGGACGCTGAGCCCTTCCTGTGCATCCTGCTCCCGGCCACAGCGCTGCTCTTCCTGGCCTTCCTGCTGCTCTTCCTGTCCCGCCGCTGCCAGGCTGCGAGGCCCCAGGGCCAGGTGTTCAGCATCGACCTCCCGGAGGAGCAGTGCCCCGCGGGCGAGGGGCCCGAGGTGACTGACCTCCTGGCCGGCCTCCCCTGGGCCAGCGAGCAGCGCGTCCCCTACTCGCCTCTGCCCGCCAGCCGGAGCCTGCTCGCTGCACGCCCTCCGCCCTCCTACGAGGAGGCCACCAGGCACGAGGCCCCGGGGGTTTCTTCCGTGTGATCAGGGTCCCTTAGCTGGCCGGACCAGTCGGTCCACTGCCTGGGACATGGTTTAAAATAGCTCCCACCCTCGAGAATGGAACAAATGGACGTGTGGGCCCCGAGAGAGGGAAGAGGGCACTGGGCCACCAAAGGCCCTGCTGGCCGGCTCAGGCCTTCCCTGGCGGGATGCTTGACAAGGGTCGAGGCCTCAACCCATCTTCAGGTGGCTCAAGGAGCCACCCTCGCAGTTCTCGCAGGATGACCGGGCTCCCTGAAATATATGGTACCAGAGAAAAACGAGGAAGTTCTGGGAGAGCGGAGAAAACAGTTTTCATTATTAGGGAGCGCAAGAACTAGCCCTGAAAGTCAAGAAAAGGAGAAAATGTGGCCCAAGAAAGGTAACTGCTTTTGTCACCAAACGAACTTTCTCTTTGTGCACCAGTTTTTCTCAGGGTTTCGTCTCTGTGAACGTTTCCGGATCTCTAGGGTTCCAGAGGAACAAAAGAGCACTAGGGGCTGCAAGGGCTACTGTGTTGTAAATAATGAGAAAAAGTGTTACAACCTTAACAATGAAAGTACAGGTTGCAAATGCTAAAAAGCAGTACCAAAGCTCTCCCAGTCGCCTCCTTTCTAGTTATCACGCTTGCTTGCCTTCTGATTTGGGGGCTGGAGTGGAAGGGGGATTCGGCTTAGTTACACAGTAGCCTTATGGGAATTGACAATGCAGTGACAGAAAAGATAGCCGCTGCTATTCCGTGTGATCTTATTATATATGCCACTAGTTGCATCTGTCGTTTGTCTTAGTAACATAGCACTGCTGTAGAAGGCAGTGACGCTGTAACTGAATTTGAACCGACTCTCTGAGAGCAGACACCAGTTTAACACTGGAAAGGAAAGGTCAAAATGTTGGTAAAGAGAAAGACCCACTTGAACAGAGAGCCCTTATAAATTACATAATTCCAATTTCTGGGTTTCCAGACACCTGAACTAGAGCGCAGAGAAGCCAAGAGTGCATCGATACTTTACAGAACACGAGCTAGGACCGGAAGGTCCTTCCACCGAGCTAGACATTTACCCACAAGCATCACACAGGTGGGATTTCAGCTAGGATCCAGATGGGGGCAGGGCTTACACAGAGGTACACGCAGGTGAGTTTAAAACACTTCTTCATTGGTTTTTTTTTTTGGGGGGGAGGGCAGTGCAAACGCAAATAAGGAAACTCCTTGATGATTCTCAAAATCAAAAAATAGTGACTTGTAATTTTTTGACACCAACACTTTTATGTCAGATAGGCAGTGCTGTCAAGTTTTAGGAAAGAAAAAAACAGCAAAAAATAGACTGCATTTAAGTGTAATCTGATAGAAATAATGGCTGTATCTTTGAGGACTATAGCAAAATGTAAACTACTTAGGTGAAAATCAATACCATTTCTTTTAAGGAAACTGTACTGAATGATTCTCTAGAATGTTAAGAGAAATAAACAGATGGCAATGAGATACTCAGCACAGTCTTCTTCAGATTGTTTTTTTTTTTTTTTTTTACTCCTAATAATCTAGTTCTGCATGCTACTGTTCATTCTTTCCCAATTAACATTCCTTCCTTGAGATCGGAACCTGATTTGCTTCTGCAACCCGGAAACCACCTTAAGGCAGGCTGGACCCATCAAAGCACCAGCAGGGCCATCACGTAATTGATCATGTTTCAGTTCCTTTGCCAGGGACTGATTTCATCTTTAGACTTACAAGGAGATCTGCAAGAAGGGATTTTCTAGAAAGGTTTGCCTTACTATTAAAAATGAATATATGAAAGGAAATGCTCTTACTCTTTGCTGGATGTTGTGTGTTTGCATGAGATGACCGGAGCTGTTGCAGCCACTTTACAACCATGAGGCACGGCACCACTCATGACTGATAAGGGGAATTGTAGAGTAGAAAAATATGTGTGCATTTATGACATTGTATGACAACTACATTAACCAACTTCCTATATTTTCATGACAGAATATCTTGCATACTATTTTAAATCACTTAAAGCCAGACTTGCTACATAGGGACAAAAGCCTCCCCACCTCTACGATGTCTCAAAATGATGAAGGACTTGTATTTCCACGTTTTAAAATGCGGTAAGATTTACTTAAAATATATCACCAGTACTAGGACTTGTTTAAAATGTTAGCAGTGACCCGGGAAAGGTCAGCATGTCATCTTATGGAACCGAACAGCAGCAGTGAAGCAGCTAAACTCCAAACCAGGAGTTACTACACTGTGAGCCTCAGGCCAAATCCCACTTGTATGACCAGTGCAACAACAGTGAGCTTCACATTTCTAAATAGCTGAAAAGCACAAAAAGCTTATTTTTTCTGGTACTGGAGAGTGACATGAATTTAAATGTCTGTCTAGCAATGATGTGTTTTGGGAATACAGCCAAAGGTCAGAGTAGGTGCAGTGGAGACTATGGGCCTCAAAGCCGAACATATTTACCGTCTCGTCCTTCACAGAAACTGTTTGCTGGCCCTTGTGATGGCCCCGTGGATTACAGCCTTGATTGCCTAATAAAATCCCTTGGAGAAATTTCAGGAATGTCAGTCCCCACACCCAGCCAGACCAGTTAAACAGAAATCAAGCCAGTGATTGTCAGAGATGGGTATTCCATTGCCATCTAAATACTGTAGGTATGTGAATTCAGCAAAATAATCCAATATAGTCCAGTAGTCCATAAACTGTATACTATTTTACACTACCCATCTCTGATAATACTAAACAAAAAAGGGGGATATAAATGGAGGACCATTTTGTATCTGTATATACAAAATAGGATAGATATATAATTACTTTCTCTTAATTCAATGAGAAGAAAGATTTGTACTAATAGTGTTTGGACAGGATATCATGTCTGCATCTTGTACTATGAATAACTACTATGAAGACAACAATATGCAATGTATTAATTATTGTAACTGTCCTACTAACCTGTTTTGAAACTGTCTCATTGCTATTTGTTTCTCAATAAAATTAAAAAAAAAAACAAAAACAGTGATGGTAACATGAGCCAAAGTGGAAGGTTCTTACTCCAGGTAACAGGGTGGGATGTGGCTAGTTTCAATGTGGACAGATAGGAGGTCATGGGTGGAGAGAGAACCAGCTCCAGAGACACGGCTTTCCAGTCACTTCTTACTCTCCATTTCCTGAGCTAACCCACAGCTGCAGGCAAAGTAACTCCCAAAGCGAGACTCGGGTGCAGGACAGGCGGCCCCTCCATGTCAAGGGCAGGACCTTGGTTCAGTGTTGACACGAGTAGCAAACACAAGCAGCGCCTGTTATTAGTCTTCCAGGAAAGACTGCAGAGTTGATCGTTAACTACTAAGAAGCACTAGAGGACAAAACATCTTCAGCTGAAAAAAATGAAGAATGGGAAAGAAAATAATAAAATCGGTTAATAGAATGTGGGCATTTGCACTGAGAGCCACACCAGATGAGAAATTTTCTTGAAGTTATCATTTGGTAAAAGGAAAGTAGCCTGCACATAGACTGGGAGGGACCCTAACGATGATAAGAAACTGACCAAACTGGAAACTCTACAACTCTGTTGAGATCCAATGGCAGTCACAGGGCAAACCACTGCCCCTAGAGAGAAAGACAGGTGGATACAGGGCAGAACATACCTGAGCAGAAGGCCACAAGTCGAGCCAGCCAGGAACCAGTCCTGGGGATGAAAAATCTGAATTCTAATGGATGAATTGCTGCTAGGGACTCTGAGTAGACAAGTCCAAGAGATAAGAACCCCAGAGGAGCATCTACCAGAGGCCCCACAGTTTGGTGATTTTTATCTCCAGGAGACCTGCCAAGGTGCTCATGGAAGATGGAGCAAACTCTCCTTGTGCTTCTGGCAGGGAAGGCAGCCATTTTGAAACACACTGGCAGGCCCTTCCTTCTTAATAGGGCCTGGCCTCAGGGAGCTGTTTAACCCAACCTAACCACCAGAGGTTTCTCAGAGCACGATTACCTGAGGGAAGAGAATTCCCAAGTCGAGGTCTCTATCCCATGGTTGAAGGGAAACACTCAAGGCCAGCCCCCTCGAGCCACCCCGGCCTACCTAAAAGAGAAGAACCCTGAGAAGATCGCGGGCCCACTGCAGAGGCTGCCTAAAAGATCTTATGAGAGAACTAGAGAACACCCCTTCTCCTGGGGTGGAGCCGCCACAACACCACAGCCTCACAGCTCCTTTCACTCAGCTCATTGGGTCCACCTTTCAACAAAATGTTATAGTAAGTGGCAAGATCCCACTGCTGGAAGAGCAAGCCTCGGAGCTGGCAAAGATGTTGGAATTACCAGGCCAGAAATGTAAAACAACTATGATTAAGGTTCTAAGCTCCCTAGTAAGCAGCATTTAAGAAAAGTAAACAGTGTGTGAGAACACATAAGTCATCAGTCGAGATGGAATTCTGAAGAGAAAGTTAAATCGAGGAAGTGCTGGAGATCCAAAATACCAACACAAATGCGGACCGGCTTTGATGGGCTCATTAACTGACTAGATGCAGCTGAAGAGAGCATCTGCGTTTGAGGCGATGTCAACAGAATCTCCTAACACTGAAAACTGAGGAGAAAAGGAAACTGAGAAAAGGAAGAAAATATCCAAGACAACAACAAATGGTGGAACATATGCATAATGATAATGCTCAAAGGAGAAAGGAGGATGGAACAGAAGTATTTGAAGTAATAACAACATATTTTCCCCAAATTAATGTCAGACACCAAACTGCAGATCCAGGAAGTTCAGAGAATATCAAGATAAAATGCCCCCTTGGCTGGGGAGATAGCTCAGTGGTCTATGTACCTGCCTGGTAACCACAAGGGCCTAAGTTCGATCCCCAGTACTGCACGCCATGTCGGCCCCAGAACCTGGTGTGGTAGAGCAGGCCTTTAATCCCAGCACTGGGGAGGCTGAGACAGGAGGATCACTAGGAGTCTGAGCTGCATTAGTGAGACCCTGTACCAAATAAATAAATAAAAGATTTTTTTA